TAAAGTGGTATCAAAGGTCCAAAACACACTGCAGAAAGAATCCAGTTTGAGACCACTTTAACTGTTCCGGCTCAATGCTAGGGAATCATGGGAACTGTATTTTTTCTGAGATATTGAGCCTTCTCTGTCAGAGAGTTCTGGTGCCACAATAAATTACAATTCCCATGATTCCCTAGCACTGAGCCAGGGCAGTTAAAGTGGACTCAATTTGCACTATTTCTGGCTGTCTGCAAAGGCCCTTAGTCTTCCCAATGGGAGTTTCTGAGTGTCAGGAAATCTATTTTACAGCCAAGAAACAAATAATGGTAAATATTCTACAGAATATTTCTATCCTTTAGAGGCGTAGAAAACATAGTTTTGAATCTGGGAAGATGATTGCATTCCCTTTCTAAAGTGTGGGTCCATATAAACCCCAATACCTGCCCTGGTTGGAGTTGATCGGAGAGGAGGGTTTCATTTGCCCTAAGAATCAAGCAAAGCTGAGTCCCCTTTTCTTGGTCAAATGCAGAGCCGCTCCATCTTCTCCTCCTGAGCGTGAGGGGAAGCCACCATTCATCGCTTTAGGAGGAGAGAAAGAGAATGGATTGGGGGAGAGGTGCCATTCCCTTGGCAGCTCAGTTCATATTATTGGAGTAAGAAATGGATGTGAAAGCTCATTCCAGCTTTCAAAGGCAACACGCTCAAGAGGATTAGCCTCCTCAGCCTCACACTTCCAAGGGGAGCTTGCCTTCAGAGCCTCTGCTGTGACTCGGAGGAGGAGCACCTCTGAGACTCTTCCATCCCCAATAGTCACTCCATGGATTTGGGACCAAGACCCGATGATCCCGACCCCATCCTTTGTGATGATTTCCAATTTGCATGGGTGTCCATTAATGTCAATGAAACCCTTGGCTGCAGAGCTCTGGAGTGAATGGACCATGCAAGTCAGCCATGGAGACGCAGTCCGGATACGTTGAACGACTCTGTAATACAACAAGAGCATGTTGACTATGGCAAGTTTCATTCCAAGGGACTTTATGGAGCTAAAGATGCACAGAATAGTCAGAAATGTTCTCATCCTTTATCCTGACATTGTTATTGTTCTAAACTGCCCTTGAGTCGCCAAGACCTAGGGTTGCCATTTGGCCCGGAAAACCTGGAAAATCCCAAATTGAAGGGATTAAAAAATGTCCTGACTGGCTGGGCCAGTTTGAAGTAGTAAATCCCAAACAAGAAGTTAAAAAGAGCTTTTAGCTTGGTTTTATATTCATGTGTGGCCATGTTGACCATACAAAGTACAGTAACATTGAAAATCCACAAAACAGGGATACGTGTATCTGGTCAACCAAAATGCACATACTGAGTTTGAAACATTAGGGTAGAAAAATGATTAATGTGTTGAATTTGCATAATCAGAATGCAAGTTAATAATATGCATAATTATGATAATTTGCATAATATGCAAATTAGATGCCCAGATATGAGGTACTGGGATCTGGCAACCCTACCGAGACCTCCTTTCCTCAACCTCTCTGCTCAGGTCCTGCAAATTCATGCCCACGACCTCCCTGGTTGAGTCTAACCATCTGGCATGTGGTCTTCCTCTCTTTCTAGTACCTTCCACCTTTCCTAGCACTCTAGTCTACACTGGAATAGGATTTTAGCCAAGAGATACAGTTTCAGCAAAAACAGAGGACATTGGATCAAGATGGTGTTTCAGTGGCATTATGCCACAGTGAAACTACCGTAAATGACTTAATGAGAGGTATTAGTGCTGGATGTTGGGGATGTAATGCAACACTCTGCACAGAGCTATCAGTGAAAAACAACCTGATAAACTGGATTTGTACTGATCTGTGCAAACTGTGGTGAGCAACATTTGCAATCTCTTTCTGTCTTCCTCTCTGCCTTTGCCAGACACACTTTTGTGCCATCCCTTGGCTTGTTAGTCAAGGGCTTCTGAAGATCCCTGCCATTCCCATTTCTTGCTCCTGACGGTCCCACATCTTGGGGACTGCCGATGGGCAAACCTTTGGTTCTGCAAAATAGGCTGGGGTTCTCTTCCTAAAGAGCCCAGACATATAAATACTTAATATGCTGTTGCACTTTCTCAAACGATACATCAAGTTGTGCCTTTTCTGGATAGTCAGCAGTTTTTAAAGCATCTTTGTTCACTGAATTATTAGGTGAATGTTGCAGCTTTGTAGTTACAAAGTAGTGTTCAGCTCTGCAGTTCCATGACAAGGCAGAAAGATATTGCATTGGTTAAGTTGAGGGATGCAAATCCTTCACAATTTTGTCTTCAAACAGAAGGAGGAATAATTTCCATAGTTTCCTCCCAAGTGCAGGAGGAAACAAATATTTCTCCTCTGTATTCTCTTTACATTCTTACCTCCCAAAGTGTTCAGGTGACTGTTCAGTGCAGAAATGAACATGTTTTTCTTCACAGGAGGCATGGACCAGTATCCAACTGGTGACACATGCAGGTGTATGTTTTGCTACACATGTTGGGTGACCTTTTTTGGACAATGCAATGTAGATGCATCCAGCTTATGGAACTATTGCAGACAAATCTGTGAGAACTGGGGGGTGGCAGGGGGAAATTAATTACAGTGTTTACTTCGAATCTAAATTCCCTGGCTGCAGATTAATCGGCATATTTACAAAGCCGTGAATAATAATAAAGTTAACTGTAATGATGTTTGGAAGAGACATCTTTGGTGTGTGGAGAGTTCTGTCTCATACCTCCTAACAGATTATGGCCCTGAGAGCACATTGCCCCAGCATCGTGTCAGATAACTCCCTGCAGAGTGCTATATTGCATCCATTACATATGCAGTTCATGGGATGCGGTGGCTCAAGAGATTAAGATGCTGACTCTGTTGATTGCAAGATCGGTAGGTCGTAAGTTCAAGGCCCGGGTGCTGCATGATGGGGTGAGCTCCCATCACTAGTCCCAGCTTCTGCCAGCCTAGCAGCTCAAAAGCATGCAAATGCAAGTAGATAAATAGATATCTCAGTGGAAAGGTAAAGAGCGTTCTGTGCAATGACGCTGGCCGCATGATCACAGAGTAGTCTCTGACAATGCTGGATCTTCAGCTTAGTAACGGAGATGAGCACCACCCCCTATGTCAGACACGACTTGACAACCTTGTCAATGGAGAATACCTTTACCTTTACCTTTACACACCATCTATACTGGATGCCACTAGAGCACAACGTATGTGGATGGCGGCTTACTCTGCATAGCTGTCACACAGTTAATGCCTTTGCAATGCTCAGTATGGTGCACATCAGTATAAGTTCTAGATTTGTTGTTGTTGTGAACCACCGTCGAATCAATCTTGACCCATGGCAACCCTGTGGATGAGAGATCTCCAAGACTCCCTGTCCTCCACTTCCCTGCTTAGTTCCTGCAAAGTCATACCTCCTTAATAAAGTCCATCCATCTAGCATGTGGCCTTCTTCTCTTTCTACTTTCCTCCACCTTTCCTAGCATTATCGTCTTTTCCATTGAGTCATCTCTTCTCATGATGTGTCCAAAGTATGACAGCCTGAGTTTTGACATCTTGGCTTTCAGGGAGATTTCTGGCTTGACCTACTCTAGGACCTACTCTTGACCATTTGTTTGTCTTTATGTTTTGCATGCGCCATAATAAAGACTAGCCTGGTTAGTATTACTCAAATTGCAAGGGTCCTGGGAGTGCATCTACAAGCAATATTTAATAGGGGAGTTTTATTAGCGCAATTAAAGCAGCTGAGGGGATTGGGCAGCTCAAAGCTGGGATCAAGCCTGTGTATATCGGTTCCAAGAAACAGAACTCCAGAATGCAAGGTCCAAATGTAGCTTTATTTGTAAATCACTATTCACACAAAGACACTTACACCGACATCTAAGAACTAACAATATAAAAGGTTGTAGCAGATAGTGACTAAAGGGATTGCAGAGGGTGATACTGTACCAATTCCAGAAGCAGTTTCCAGTCGGAGGACACTGTGATGTGAAATGGCTCAGCAGCTGCCTGTGGGTCATGGAGTGGCCAGCAATGCAGAGGAGTCAAGCAACAGAGAGTCCATATTTTTTTTAAAAAAAAAGAAAAAGAAACTTTAATACTGTATCAATAAAATGAGAGCCAACATTCTCAGGGACCTGAAGTTTTGAAAGTGGATCCAGCAGTCATTTCTACACTCTTTATGTTAAACTCCTATGCCGTATAAGCACACTGCACAAATCTGACAAGTTAAATACTTTTCCCCCAACTTGAGCATTGCTTTCCTTTCAAAGCAAGCATCCCAGTTAAGCACCAAGACAACCATGAAAAATATAACAGATTGTATTGAAAATGGGAGAAGATGCCCGCTTGATGGAGAAAAATGGGTTCTGATGAGAACACCATCACCCACCCATTCTGTTTTCTGCATTAAGCAGGTGCCCGCCCTGATATTACCTGCTTGCTTTGGGTACTTTCTTTCACGTCAGTTTTGTTCTTCCTCTGAGCCATCTACCTTTCAGTGGAGAGGCTGTTTACTTTCTGCATGATGAATCAGTGTGTCAAACAAATGTCCAATTTTGGGATGCAAAAGGCTGCTACCACACAGAAGAAACAGAGCAGTTTGACACCACTTTAACTTTCATGGCTCTATGCTATGGAATTCCGGGATTTGTAGTTGTGTGTGATATTTAGCCTTCTCTGTCAGAGAATCCTGGTGCCAACACTTCAACCACTACACCATGCTGCCTCTCGCAGTTTTTCCTTAGCAAGATTTCTTTAGACCAGGAGTAGGCAACCTTTCCCTTTTAAGGGCCGAGGGACTTCAGCTCCCAGAAGCCTCAGCCATGTTGGCCTATAATAGTCCCATGTTGGCCAATAGCTCCTGGGATTCTGGGAGCTGAAGTCCCTCGGCCCTTAAAGGGGAAAGGTTGCCTACCCCTGCTTTAGACACTGAGGGAGTGTGATGTCTCGAAGGTCACCCAGTGGATTTCCATGGCTGACCAGGGATTTGAACCCCGGTCTCCCAGAGCCAGCATGGTGTAGTGGTTTGAGCATTGGACTAGGACTCTGGAGACCAGGGTTCAAATCCCAGCTTGGCCATTTAAACCCACTGGGTGACCTTGGGCAAATCACACTCTCTCAGCCTCAGAGGATAGCCATGGCAACCCCCTTCTGAAGAAACTTGCCAAGAAAACCTCAGGATAGGCTTTCTTTAGGATCACCATAAGTCAATAATGACTTGAAGGCACACAGCAACAACTCCAAGAGTCCTAATCCATCACTCAAACCACTCCACCACACTGTCTCATAATACTTTTATTGAGCCAGCCCAAAAGGACACAATAGGGCTATGAAGCCTTTCTCCAACCACGTTCCACTCTCCTAACATCTATTATCTAGTTCCTGCCTAAGAGCATCCAACAGATAGACCCCTTGGTCACCTAATCATACTTTCCAGGCAATCTCCATGTTTTTAATCATGTTAACAGTGACTCTTTGCTGCTCTAAATGGACTTTTAAAAGCTTTTATGCTGGTTTGCTTTTCAGCGTTACGACAGGAGAATTACGCTCGGAGGACACGCCAGTGTGCCAAAGTCATCCATTTTTCTGAGTCATTACTGCTGGGGAAGCAGCCATTAGATGGCCCATGAAACTATTAAATAAGGTTCATATTTATCTCCTGCATCTAAAGGGTTCTGGTCGCACTATTTGTTTATTCGTCAGCCAGGCTTTAAAGGATGGGGTTCTAGAAGAATCATTTTTCTGTTCAGACCATGCATGATGCCCTGCATTGTACATAATTTAGTAGCAAGACCTTGGCATAATATCAGCATCAAATTGGTATGGTTCAATGCATGTTGGTGTGCCGCCAGGATTTCATATCCTTTAACATTTATGTTAACCACTCCAGTGTACATTTGCAGTTGTTGAAGGCTGGTAAAAGAGATTGTAGGGAGCTGTAGGAGAACAGACAATAAAAAGAAACTATAATTTTATAATTTGCATGGCAGGCGGTCAGACTGGGTTGGTCCCTGAGGTCTCTTCCAACTTTATGATTCTATGATTATTGCAAAGCAATCATAAAAAGTAGTTGTTGCTAATTGCCTTTGAAGGTGCATCTGCACTGTAGAAGTAATGCAGTTGGACACCACTTGAAGTGGTGAAGTTCCATGCTAGGAAATTCTGGGATTTGTAGTTTTACAAGGTCTTTCACCTTCTCTTTCAAAGACTGCTGGTGCCTCACCAAACTACAAATCCTAGGATCCTGTAGGATGGAGCCAGGGCAGCTAAAGTGGAGTCAAACTGCATTATTTCTATAGTGCAGATGTCCCTCAAGTCAGTTTTGACTTATGGTGACCCCATGAACGAGAGACCTCCAAGTCATCAACAGTCCTGCTCAGGTCTTGCAGACTCAGGGCAGCCATTGTAGCTTCCTTGGCTGAAGCTGCATCCACATTGCAGAAATAATCCAGTTTGAGACCATTTTAACTGCCACAGCTCAATGTTATGGAATTCTGGGAATTGCAATTCGTTGTGGCACCAGAGCTTTGCTATAGAATCTTGAGGTTTGTAGTTTTGTGAGATATTTGCCTTTCTCTGTCAGAGAATTCTGGTGCAACAAAAACCTACAAATTCTAGGATTCCATAGGATGGAGCCATGACAGTTAAAGCAATGTCAAATTACAAATGGTTAAGAGTATGGACAATTTTCAATGCCTCACCCTCTGCAATGGTAGAATTTTGAAGGAAAAATTCAATTTGGGTGCAGAATTATCCTATGGGGATGGGGAAATCACCTCATTTTGCTATCCTCCCATAGCTACAATCCTGGTGAGCTTAAGGAAGCCAGAAAACAGTTGTGCAATCTTGTGCCCCAGTTGCTTAAAACAACCACAACAACAGGATGACCAGACATCTTCCTTTTCCAGGACATGTCCTACATTTCAGCCTTTTGTTCAAGAGCCTTCAACAACTGCAAATGTACACTGGAATGGTTAACACACTCCATACTGAGCATGGCTAAGAAGCATGGATTTATATTTATGTCAGGGTTTTTAGCTTTTATTTGGGAATGTCCTACATTTTTCTTGAATGGGGTACATTTTATGGTGCCATGTCTTCCTTTGTCATTATAATATCTGGCCACCCTACACAAACAGCGCACCTTGCAAAGCTCCCATTGTCTGAGAAATGAAGGTGTACACCTGGCCTCCAAATCCCTCCACCTTGTGATGGGCTCCAGAAATAATTTACCTTTTCAGAAACATCCTTTATTGATTGAGACGCAGCTCCTGCTGTGCATGTAGAATCCTGACAGTAGTCAAGCCTTCCAAGATAAAGCCAGGAAAAATTAGTTTGTAATAGTATTCTTTGTCCACGTCTCAATTTCACATAAAGGCAGGCAGTCTCCAATGAATATTGTCAGGCAATGTGCCCAAGACAGCTCTTAAACAATACAGAAATATGAAAGGTGCTTTTCTCCCCCCCTCCTGTGTCTGGGTGTATGTGTGTAAATTATTTTGATCACACTTCCCTTTATGTACTCATAAAGTGATTCAGACATCAAAATGGTCTATGTTACCATAAATGTTGGCTTCCATTTTATTTCCAGCTTGCAAGATATAAGTTTTCATTTATTAAGCTCAACATAAAGACCAATTGCCTTTCACACACATATGAGTTCTGCCCACGAAGATATATTAATCTCTCCAATAAGTCTTCAGCGCTTGATATAAAATCTGATTCGGAGAAGTTCATAAGCATCTTAAATCAGCATTTGTTGGTCAGGGGGACAGAGAGAGTGAATCTGGAACACAGGCATTTCAAAGTTAGATCCACTTTAGTGTTCTGGACTTAAAAGCCATACAAAGTTTTAAGGAAAAGGATGTAGGAGAGTGTGGTCCTGTTGCAAACTGTCTCATTTTAACTGATTTTCATTTGTTTTAAAATGATTAAATTGGTTTAGTATGGTTAATTCTTTAATTCTGTTTGAACAGTTGCTGCAGCTGCACTGCAGAAATAATGCAGTTTGACACTGCATCAACTGCCATAGCTCCATCCTATGGAATCCTGAGATTTGTAGTTTGTTGCTGCAGCAGAGGCCTCTGATAGAGAAGGCTAAATATCTCACTAAAATAACAAATCCAAGAATTCCATAGCATTGAGCCCTAGCAGTTAAAGTGGTGTCAAACTGCATTATTTCTGCAGTGCAGATTGGCTCCGTGACTTTTTGTAAGTGTTTAATTATATTTAGTGAGAACCAGCATGGAGTAGTGGGTTGATGAGATGTGGCATAGTGTATTTGCACACTCCTTGCCACATTTCTAAATTAAATGCTCTTATTCATTAAAACTTTAGTCTCTCTGCAGTGAGTACTGGTATACATTGGTGGAAAGATCCCCAAGGTTACCCTCCTCTTGCAGGCCGCTTTTTGAGCTAATAATTCCCTCAAAATATCAAGGAGATGGTGGCACTGTTGGTGGGGGCCCCAATTCCCCTGCCCATCTTTTAAGCTAATATATTCCCAGTCATGCTGGAAAGGTTGCTCTGGAGGGAGATCCTGGACCATCACATATTAACCTCAAAAAGAGGCTGTTGGAAGTGTAGCCATTTCATCCATTGGAGTGTCATAGACTGAAACAGCAACAAAAGCAGAGACAAGGATGTGGCCTGTCTTGAAAGAAAAATCCTGGAATAATTAGACCAGCTGTGCTGAAATTTCATGCTCTGTTGTTTCCTGAACTTTGGCTATCTCCTTGGATTCTTTTCTTTGTTGACTCCCTGACTATCATTTGCCCTTGCATGGAATGTTTTCTGTGCTTAAATCTTATCTGGTTCAACCACACTGCTGCTTTTATGGATTCTCTTTGTACAAATCTGGACTGGTTTGGTTTCACCCTTGTTTGTTCTCTTGAACTAGAGGTGATCACTTGGGCACTTGCCATCCTGAAACAGGACCTTTTCCTCCTGTAAATGGACAGTGCTGAATCTCGCTTCATCCGCTGTCCCCTTGCTTGACGGAGGTTGTTGGAAATTAATTGGCATAAGCTCCACTTTTGTAGCATTCCCACTGCAACAAACATTTAAGAAGAGGCCCTCTCTGCTCACAGCTTGTTCATTTCCATTGTGAAACTGATTGTTGAACCCAAGTGAGAGTGTGAGGAGGAGCAGAACTGGCTCTCTGCAGACAGTAATGCCAAAGGTGATAGCAGCCCTTCATTTCTGTGCTCATGGAAGAGTATCAAAACATGACGAGGCTGCAGTTTGTAATGGCATTTGAGGCCTTTAATCTATCAGGTCAGTGGTTCAGATCCAAGCAGTAACTACCCGCCACTGCCACTTGGTAAGCTTCTGCAGCCTGTTATTTTTGTGCCTTTTCTAAGTGCTTTCAGAGGACAAGAAGGAGGAGAGCATCAGCTGTCTCTCCTCAGCCCTATCTTTCTGAAGGAAGACACCCTCCAAGTTTGATCCCCCTCCCTTCCACTTTGATATTCAATCTCCCAGCTTTGCTTTTGTTCTCTGGTCAGGTTCACCTTGATCATCCTTTCTAAACAGCAATTTGGGCCATTAAGATTTTCAAAACCTGAGCAGCTGTTATTGGGCTATGAGAGAATACATGCCATGCAAGAGAGCCAAGGTTAGATTGAGTCCTTGCTAGACTCTCCAGTTAAAAGGGAGTAGGACTTTAAAGAGAAGCAATTCACTCTATTTTTGGTACGAAGAAGGGCAGTCCAAGAAGTCTGGTAGGGTCAAGACATGGAAAATAAACCAGCTTTAGGAGACCTGATAGTTCTTGGATAGTTCTGAGATCTTAGAGCCATTTTCAATCAGAGGACCACAGACTTATAGAATCATAGAGCCCTCAAGGGCCATCCAGTCTGACCCAATTCTGTATCCCCATTCAGCTAATGTGAAAAGCAGTGCACTGGTTTTACTGGTTTTGGGGGGAAAGGCTCATCCAGACACAAACCCACTGCTGGACCTTGCAGGCTAAAGGTTTTTAAAATGGACAATTAACCAAAGTGATTCCAAGTTAAAAAAAATGAGTAGAAAGACAAGATGATTTTGCAGCAAAACAATTATTTATTTATTTAAAAGA